TTGAAAGGTTTCACGTCACTCGAAAGGTTTTCTGAGGCCATAATGTGACTTCTTGCTACATTGTGTGCGTCGCATGAGGTCGGTAGTTTTGCTCAAGTAAGCCAAGACATGCACTTGCAGGTTGTCTGGGCCAGCCTGAGACTACTTACGGTGCTGCTCTTGACAGCCTTTGCTCTTCTGGCTGGCCGATCTGGTGCCATTCCAGGAGGGTTGGATTAGTACTTGGTGCTGATGTTCCTGTGCCTGATGAATCATCCACATTTACAGTACGTACTGTAGACCTTACTGTAGCAGTAATTGCAACAGAATGGAGATGACTGCTGACGTCACAAGCAGGACGAGGAGAACGTATCCTGTTCTCACTACTTGTGGTTGTCTTGTTTTGGGTGAATCATCTTTGCGCCAAGCTCAGGAAATCTGAGTAAAATCTCAAGAAGCATTTGATTCAATTTTGCGTGCTCAGTGTAGACCCCGCACAAGTACAGTTGATTTAGTTGACTAATTGACCAGCGAGCCCCCAGGCAGAGACCTTGTAGACCTCTGTGGGGGAGATTTTCAACTTGACATCGATGAGTTGAGGCCCTCAATTTGACATCAAAGTTCATCAAAGCCAGAAAAGTTGCAGTCCTGTTGAAGTCTTGATGAAGCCTTGGCTTTTGCTGAGAAAGTGGAAACTGCTGCCATATGCAGGCGCGATGCTGGTCTATTTCGGCACAGGTGGCAGCGCTGAAGGATTAGTCAAAGCCCAAGAAGGAACTGAAGGAGCTGAGCCAGGAATGCTCAAACTTCAGACTGCTTCATGGAACGCTTTGATACATTTTTTGAGCAATTGGACTGATTAAGTATTGCTTGTGGTTGCTGTAGATTTAATTTCCTCGAGCTTCTTGACTTGACTTTGAGTGCTGCGTGATGATTTGGTCTCCAGCCTCATTGGGCTTGCCTTGAAAATCCAGGCCAAGTCCTTTTGCTAGGTGTCTCCACAGACTGTTTAAAGATTTAAACTAGCAAAGCTGTCAGACTTGTCAGCACAATGCAATTTGAGAGCGGAGGCTTAAAAGAAACACAGCAGCGGAAAAAAGAGCGACATTCATCGACGCAGACATGCCCTGGCATCGGGTCCAGACACGTGACATGCGGTGACACGGCGTGACGCGTCCTTTTCTCCGCCCAATCATACGTTTTGATCGCTAGATGCTGAGAGGTGGTGCAGTGGCTTCTAGCAAGACACTCAGTAGCTAGACGGAAACGATTGAAACGACACCATTTGATCAAAATTTGCTTCAGTGATTTGACGAGGTATGCTGCGATCTGTTGCCGGTGCGCTCTTGGATCCTTCAAGGGAGGCTCGTGCCCCAGGGCTAGTTTGTTCTACTAATCCTATGTTCTACTTGTAGTCAAAGTATATAATGTCTTTTGGACATGGTATGAGATCGTAGATATCCTATGTTCTACTTGTAGTCAAAGTATATACAGTAATGTCTTGTGGACGTGGTATGAGATCGTATATATCGTGGTGCAGATCGGGTGAAGTTTCTTTGCGCAACAACCTTTGCTTTCATGTCTCTCCATGTCCAAAGCACAACAGAAAGGTTTGCAAGCTCCTAATCTCTTTCAGAGTTGCAGGATTTGGAATAATGTTTATCTCTGGTTTTCCTTGTTACTTTTCTTGATCCACATTCTGGCAGAGCACAAGCTGCAAGCTACAATTCATCTGCAGTGGCAAGAGCTATGGAATTATTTCTGCCAGTACTTGAGTTTCTTGAAAGTGTCTTGTATCTTCTTCATTCTTCTTCCATTTTTTCTTGATCTTTCTCGATCTCGTTCTTGCTGCTGCCTATTTGGTTTGCTGTTTTGCCTTCAGGTCCGGGGTGCTGCGGCATCCTGCTTTGCCAGCTTCGCACGACGCAATCCACCTCAAGAGCTGACAAAGGTCATTCAAATCAATTTATAGAAATTATAAGTGATTCAAATGCGCGAAACATGTGAAACGAATGCTAGCAGAGACGCACGAGAGAAGAAAGACTGCCGCACACCAGCTCTCACTTGCACAGGCACATGCACAAAATTGCACAAACACAAATGTAAGATGCTTTCTGTCTTTGGAGGCATGCAGCGGCATGCAGATGAAATGGCTTGAATCTCTCCACCTAATTTCGGCTCTTGTGGCTTCTTGTTGCAAGGTGGTCTTTGAGCGCTTGCTCAAGCAAGATCAGGACTGTGAGTCACTCGCGTGTGAGTGAGACTCATACAGATTAGCTAGTTTTGGCCGGCAATGTCAGAGACCAGCTCTCCTGGATCAAATCATTGGTTTTGGATCCCAGCATGCTGTGCCTGTCCCCGAGATGGACATGATACTGACATCAACAGACGGTTTACCTCACCATGAGAGTAGCTCTGGTTGAATCTCGGGGACCCACAGCGAAAACGCAGACCTGACATGTGCGCAATACCTTTGGCACGCATTTGATATGCTTTGGATTGCTGTGGCAATATTTGGCAATATCTGGATTATTTATGATATAATATTTTATGATTATTTGCTGTGCCCTATCTTTTTTGAACCTCCCCTCATCGCGCCATTTTTTCTGCATGCCACCTGACAACAAAATCATGTCAATCGAGTGGTCTAGAGAGCCTTTCCATCGTTGGATGGCACCTGTAGAAAGGTGTAGCCGACACCGCAGCGCTTGCGAGCCGTTCGTTTTTGTGCAAAGCTTGAATTCAGTGTGCTTGAATGTTTGTCGGATATGCGCAGGAGTTCCGGACTGATGATGTGCAACGGAACTCTTATCGCATCTCATTGTCGCGGGCGTTGTGGGAGGCATTCATGATTTGTCGGGTTGCTCTTGTTCACTTTCAATCTTCGTACATTTGCACTGTGCGCTGTGTTGAATGGTGAGGTCTGCAGGCGATGCGACGATAGTATGATAGAGTCTGAGCTCAAGTCGGCGATTGCATCCAAGGCCAAGAAACACGAGCATGCGGTAGCAGGAAGCTAGAGACATACACAAGTGACGCAGGAAAGTGTGTTGGTCTAGGCCTTCAGTCTACGCTGGAGTAGCGAAGCCGAAGTGAAGACTGGCCGGGTCCCATCCAGTGGTAATTACGGTTTTGCAGCTCCTGCACATTCCAAAGTCAGCAAGATCACCACACTGTGACTAGTTAATTCGATCTATGGTTTTGTTTTACATGTTTTACCGACGTGTTTCACAGTTTTATAATGATTTATGATTTTTCATGATGTTTCATATGTTTCATGTTCTCTGTTGCTTTCCTACTAAGTAGGAAAGCAACAGAGAACATGAAACATATGAAACATTACTTTGGACATTGCGTCCACTATACCAGACTTTCTGGGTGTGGGATTTTGCTCCCTCCATCCCTGTCCTCTTGTCCTTGTAGCATCATTCACTTCACAAATCTGTTCCAGCACAATCCTCGTCCTCTTAGTGACAGCATGGTCCTGGAAGTGAAGATATGGCACGTGTGTTGTGACACAAAAAGATATAACATATATCATGTCCCAGATCACCCCTGGGTTGATATGGTGACCTTTCACAGGTTGTGAAAGGTCACCCCTTCCCCAACCGAAAAATGAAAACTACGTTTCTTCAGCTGCCCAAAAGTCAACAAGTGAACCGTCCTGGAACCTTGAACAACGCCTGAGCTCAAAACCAAAGAAGTTTCCAATGATGCCCCAAACCAACCGGAAAAAAAACCAACAGACCAGGCAACTCCTTCCCGCTGCCTTCTGCTGCTTCTTTGTTCCTGCTGACCTCTAAAAAGGGCTGCGGTTCGGCCCAGATGTATGTTCTTGGCGAGTCCTCTTCGGATTCCTGAATGCCAAAAGGTGGCTGAATTGCATTTGAAAAATTGAGTAAATAGGGAGGCATGTCCATTATGTTTACACGCGCGCTCCCCCTATGTGACCTGTCGTGCTGGTCACATACCTAGCTCAAGCCCTTTCTGCAAATCTTTTTCTACAGTGCAGCAAAGCGCGCATGGATTGAAAGCTCGAATGGGGCCACTGGATCCTACATCACGACAATGCTCGTAATCAAAATGTAGTGCATATCCATGCGAGATTGCATACAGCTCATATCGCGGTATGTCTGACTGTGGGCCACATCGATGGCATCGTGGCGTCAGACAGATTTCCCTTGCATGTCTAAGACCGTGGCATAGTAACTTAACAAGTGCTTTTCGCTGCCTTTCCTCGGCCTCTGCTGGTGGCTGCAGCGGGATCCCCTCCGTGCCTTGTACGCGGTCCCACGTCTTAGGACCTCTGGTGTACCGGCTCGGTCGGGCGGGGTCCCCCTGCGGCTGGCCGGAGGGCGCACATGGCACCGTCACCCGGACTTCAACTTCGCTGTTTGACCTCCCTGCTCTCTGTGCCCATCCTCATTCTCCGACCCCAGCTTTCCAGCTTGTGGTGGTTCCAGCCACCTGTCAGCACTGCAGCTTGCCCATGCCCCTGCCAGCTTCCGCCCTCCCTCAGCCGCCGTCAACGGCTCGCTGTCACGAAAACATTGAACAACCAGTGGCAAGAACTGCCACCTCCTGTTGTTTGGGACCCGCTGCTGCCTTGGCGTCCTGACCCTTCGCCTGTCCGCTGGCACCGTCGGAGGGCCTGTCACCATCAGCAGCGGCGTCAGGCCTGGGCCGGGTGGCCTCACCGCGGGATGCGCATTGGTGAAGCCCAGAATCCGGGACCCCCTCTCCCTAGCACACCTGCTGGGCGGGAAAGGTCTCCTGCGCGACAGCCGCAAGCTCAACGGGTGTTTTGCCCGGTTCCAGCATGTCCTTGCTCTGACCCAGCTCGGGCCCGGGGGCTGGGCCACAGTCGCAACGATGAAGTCCCACATCGATGCACACCTTGCCGGCTCCTTGCAAGGGGATGTGCCCACTGCCTGGCTCCATTCCCACAACCGCACTCGGTGTCTCGTTTGCGGTCTCAGTGTTTCCCAAGCTCCCGGGGTCCACCCCACTTGCCGGCCGGAGGCTCGGGCCGCTGCAGTTGACGCTGCCATCCCAATGGACACTGACGGCTTGCAACTCCCATTCCTTTCAGCCATTCAAGCTGCCAAGACTGCCACCATCCGGCACGTCCCCAGTGCCGCACGCCATGCGTGGGCCCAGGTCTTGACTCGGGCCTTGGCTGCGGCCGCCCATCGCAATGATGACAAAGCTTGGCGTGAGCTTTGCATGCTCCCCAAGTGTGTCCTTTGCGCCCCCCCACCGTGGCGGCAGGCAACATCGAAAAGCCACTGCTGCATGCACCTTGGACCGCTTGCATCGATGGCAGGAGGGGGAAAGGCTATCCCTTTGGGAATCCCGCACTGCTTTAAAGCGGGGGCCTGGCTTGCTTGAGCTTGAACAACGAAAGGCTCTGGCCATTGGCTTGGCCCGTGAGGGCTTCGACCGCAAGGCTTGCGCAGCTCTTCTCTCCAAAGGGCTGTGCCCACCAACCGCCGCAACTGCTGAGGCCTTGCGAGCCCTTCATCCACAACAGCCTCCTCCCACGGCGGTTGTCATGAATGATCTCCCTGTCGCGCCAGAGATTGCGCCAGAAGCCGTCGCGCGATGCCTCCGGGCTTTTCCCCCTGAAACTGCGCCCGGGCCTAGTGGGCTCCGCGTTCAGCACCTGAAGGATGCTAATGTGGCCGGTGGCAGTGATGCTTTCCTCTCCCAGCTCACTGCTGTTGTGAACCTGCTGGCTCAAGGAAGAGCCCCAGAATTCCTGGCCCCAGTCCTGGCGGGCGCTGGGCTTGTAGCCCTCCCAAAACCTCAAGGCGGGGTTCGGCCAATAGCCGTAGGGGAGATTCTGCATCGACTGACCGGCAAGTGCCTCATGGGCATCGTGCGGAATGATGCCCAGTCCTTTTTCTGGCCTGCCCAAGTTGGCGTCCTGAAAAAGCAATTCACACGGTGCGCGCCTGGCACCGGAGACACCAGACCTCATCGGACAAGGTGGCCCTCAAGCTTGACTTCGCCAATGCCTTCAACACGGTCCGCCGCGATGCCGTCCTTTCTGCCATCCGGGACCCTTTTCCAGCCCTGGCACGGTGGGCAACTTGGTGCTACCAGCGGCCGACCCGGCTACAATTTGATGAATGGGTTGTTGAATCTTGCGCTGGCGTTCAACAAGGCGATCCTCTTGGGCCGCTTCTTTTCGCGGCTGCTTTGCAACCCCTGGCTCAGGACCTTCGCAATGCAGGGCTAGACATTGCTGTGCACTACCACTGGCTGGCTCGCAACATCCATGCCGTCAGTGCTGCCCTTCGGCTGGTTGTTGAAGCGCGGGCCGCTACCATTGGGCTCCGCCTCAATCTTGCCAAATCTGAGCTGATTGCTGTTGGTCGCTTGGACATCGCGGCCCTCCATTGCCATTTTCCTGATGCATTGCTCCGCGCCCACGCCGATGGAAGCTGCCGCGTTGCCCGCAACTTTGAGCTCTTGGGGGCTGCCATCGGCGAGGATAGCTTTATCCATCTTTATCCACTCCCACACAGTGGAACGGGCCGCCAAAGCCAGCGACTTGCTTGACGCTTTGGGTGAGCTGGAAGACCCCCAAGTTGGATTGCGGCTTCTGCGAGCCTGCGCTGGCTTCGCACGTATGCTCCACAGCATGCGTTGCAACCCTGTGGTCCCACAAACTGCAGCCTTGCGCATGTTCGACGGCATGGTTCGTCGTAGCTTCGGGGATTTCACCGGGCTGCACCCCAACGCTTTGCAATGGAAACAAGCTGCTTTGGGGTTGGGCCATGGAGGCTTAGGCCTTCGTTCCACTTCGGTTCACGCCTCTGCTGCCTTTCTGGCGTCCTGGGCATCCGCCCTCCAGGCTGGGGCTGCGCTTGATGCGACCTTCTGCCCCAATGAGGCTAAGTCTTGCCCGGAAGTTGCTGCGGCCCTTGCTTGCTTCAACTCGAAACTCGAGCCTGAAGCTCACATCACTTTGGACGCTGTTCTCTCTAGCAAGCAGCACGCCATGTCCCAGCGGCTGGACCATGCTGGCTGGCAGGAACAACTCGGACATGCTAGCGTTGCTGGGCGCGCAACCCTGCTTTCAGAAGCCTCCGTAGGAGGTCGGGCTGTCCTCGCCGCTGTACCAGCGGGCCGCACCCGCCTGGAACCTGCAGCCTTTATTTCCGAACTTCGGGCACGGCTGCAGATCCCTGATGCTTGGTGCCCGCTTTGTGACGGAGTTATGGACATCCACAACTACCATGCCGGGATGTGTATGGCTGGTGGCGAACGCACTCAACGCCACTATGCTGTCCGGGACATTGTCTGTGCTTGGGCACACCGGGCTGGCCTCCGGCCGGAACGGGAACGACCCGGCCTGTTGCTTCCCCAAAATCCTGAGGATGGTCACAGTGCTCGCCGGCGCCCTGCCGATGTTTTCTTGACCCGCTATTTCTTGCTAGGTTTTGCCAATTTCTCACCTTTTAGTTTCTAATTCATGACCGCGAGTCCAAGTCCCTGCTTGTGTTTTTTGTGGCTGATGCCCCTTTTCCCATCCTGGCTCTGCCGCCCAACTTGCTGTCCCGGCATTTACTGGGACGTGCGGGATTGCCTCGCATGGTCCCTGCCTCGCATGGTCCCTGCGTGCCTGCCAGTGTCCCCTCTTTTTGATCCTGCATTTACTAAGCTGCATTTACTGAGCTCGGCGGATCGGCACCACACGTGTCAGGGGCAGCTCTTTCTTTTTCGCGGTCGGTCTGTGGTCCCCTTCCGAGTGGAATGATTTCCTGGGGATAATTATGGAGAATTACTTCACGGTCACAATGATACTTTCCTCCAAACGGTGTGGTGAAAAGTGGTTTTGGACCCCTTTAGGACCGAGATCCACTTGACCTCAAATAGATCGCCGGTTCACGCGCCGCTGCATCACCATCTGCGGAGCCATCGGCAGCAGCACTTCACTCGGGATGCCAGCAGCGCCATAGCTATTTCCAGCGCCAGCCGCGCCTTCAGCTCCGTAGAACCAGCGCTCGCAGCGCTTCCAGCAGCCGTGGAGCCAGCGCCAGCAGCGCTTCCAGCAGCCTTGCAGCGCCAGCAGCGCTTCCAGCAGCCTTGCAGCGCCAGCAGCGCTTCCAGCCGCCTTGGATACAGCGCCAGCAGCGCTTCCAGCAGCCTTGGGTGCAGCGCCAGCAGCGCTTCCAGCAGGCTTGGATGCAGCAGCGCTTCCAGCAGCCTTGGGTGCAGCGCCAGCAGCGCTTCCAGCAGGCTTGGATGCAGCGCCGGCAGTGCTTCCAGCAGCTGTAGAACTAGCGCCCGCAGCGCTTCCAGCAGCCGCCGCTGAAAACCAAGTCGGCCTGGCAAGTTGATCATTTTGGCGCTGATTCCTTTCTTCCTCGTCTCTTTCTTTGACATGCCACAAAAATGCTGGCACATTCATCAATGAACCCTTGTATCTGACCACGGTTAGCTTTCCAACTCTGTGCCACATGAAGATGCCCATGACACATGCCCCAATGAGGAAACCGGCAAAAAGGATCACAGCCACAAACAGGATGAAATAAAACTGACTGTCACTCTGCTGCAAAACTGGATTGAGATCTGGAACGACCAGTGCTGTTTGAAGTTCCTTTTCTGATTCCATGGATGCTCCCGCGAGCGACATGGTCACCAAAATGATGATCTTCAAAGCCCTCGCTCTCTTTCGCTTCTGGCGTCATTCCAGATGGAGTTTCAGTCTGCTCTCCATCCTCGGCTTTTTCCAAATTTTCCAAACTTCCAAAAACATGCCCATGGTTTCTTTGTGCTGGTTGAACTTCTGCACTGACAAGACTTTGGTACCCAGGTCAGCTGGCATTTCAGCCCCAGGCAAATGCCTAATCATCCACTCTCCTGCCAAAACCTTGGAGCGCAAAATGAAGGCCCTCTTCCGCAGGTGGCGTGTGCGCCATGATCCAGTGTCCCCGGCGATGATGGCTAATGCCGCCGAGCTGTCTGTGTAGGAAAATGACCTAGCACAAACATCCAAAGCCTCCTCCAAAACGACTTTGACTGCATCACCTGCCAATGCTCCTTCAAGAACCTCCACAAGTTCAGCCTCTGCCGTCGATGCAGCTTGAATGGGCTGTTTGCCAGCCTTCCACAGCAGCAGCGATGAGCCCCAAAGGATCAGATGACATCCAAATGAAACTTCACTGTAGGACGCATCCGTATGCACATTGAGCTGCTTCTCGCCCATCTTGTTCTGGAAAATCAAACCTTGGCTCATAGTGGCAGCCAAGTAGTACCACACAGGCTTCACCAAGGCACGGGGGTCGCATTTGCCCCTATTCCATCTTGGGTCGCATTTGCCCCTATTCCAAGGGGGATGAAGTGGGTTTAGGGGCGATGTGACCCTCCTTTAGGGGCGAATGTGACCCCTGCTTTTGCGTGGCAGGCGCAATAGTTTCAGAGCCTCAAAAGGATTTTTTCCACCCTAGAGAGTGATATTCACGTGTTTTTCTACGTTCCAACAGCCATTTCAATCAACTTCCAGGACACTATGCATGCTATGGTGTTCCATTGCTATACGTTGTAACATCCATTTCGAGCAACTTCCAAGACGCTTTGGATGTTACCTTCCAAGAGACATTTCAATCAACTTCTAGGACACTATGGATGCTACGTTGTACCATCTAGTTCGAGCAACTTGGAAGACGCCTCGGATGCTACGTTCCAACAGCCAGTTCAATCAACTTCCAGGACACTATCATGCTACGGTGTACCATTCCTACGTTGTAACATCCATCTCGAGCAACTTCGAAGACGTTAAACCCTAAAGGGTTGAGTAACATATGGAATAGAGAGACAAGTCAACATATGCCCCCATGTCCCCCCCTAAACCCGAGTCCCCCTAAATGTCCCCTTGTCCCCAGGTTAAACCCTAAAGGGTTGAGTAACATATGGAATAGAGAGACAAGTCAACATATGCCCCCATGTCCCCCCCTAAACCCCAGTCCCCCTAAATGCCCCCTTGTCCCCAGGTTAAACCCTAAAGGGTTGAGTAACATATGGAATAGAGAGACAAGTCAACATATGCCCCCATGTCCCCCCCAAACCCCAGTCCCCCTAAAAGCCCCCTTGTCCCCAGGTTAAACCCTAAAGGGGTGAGTAACATATTTAAATTATTGTTGTTTAGGGGCGAATGTGACCCCTTTTGGTTTAGGGGCGAATGTGACCCTCTTTTAGGGGCGAATGTGACCCCCGTCCCCTTCACCAACTGCACAACCTGCATGGGTGACCTTGTGATGAGTGATGCTAGCTTGGAGACAGTGATGGCCAAATCAGGTCTGGACCGGGCTGTGATCCAAACCAATTCGCCAATGACTCGCTGAGCTTCTCGGACTGTTGTAGGAGTCTTCTCCTCACCTTCAATGACTTCCGGCTCCTTCACCAATGGCACCTTTCTCGTGGGCCACATGTTGGGGTCCCCTCCAAGATTTCTTTTCAGCAAGTCCTTGATGTAGTTAGTCTGCGTCATCAGCCAAGCTCCATCTTCACGTCTCCACAACTCAGCACCCAAAAATCTCACCTCCTTCTGCATGTTGATGACCTCAGGTTCTGATGTCTCCCATTTCGCTTGCACTCCTTGGATGACTGCAGCGATCGATGAAGGATGCCCAAGGACCAGTAAATCACCCACATAGATCCCACAAAATCCTCCGCAACGGTTTCAAGAGCGGGACCCTGCCTTTTCAACATCATCCTCCACATGTTTGGTTCCGTAATCATCTGCTGCAAGGTCAGGATGCCACCCTCACATGGGAATTCCATCGTTGCAAGTTCTTGATCTCGATAGTCCGACCACAACCTAGGCGACTCCTTGTAGCCGTAGAGGGCCATGATGATTTCGTAGAATTCGTCTGGGCGTGCCAACCCAGCCAAGATGAGAAGGGCCGGAGGACGAATGATAGCTCTCTTTGGCTCCGTCCTTTCTTCTTTTCATCCTTCGAACCAGACAAGACCATATATAGGAGCATTGAGAAAGGCCGTCCTTACATCCATAACTCTCCCCTCAAAACCAAATCGCGCAGTCAACGTCAACGCAGCTCGAAGCGCCACTGCCGATGCACCACCTGCAAAAAGGTCTTGTCCTTCTTCTCGATCTGAGTAATTTCCACAGGCTACCAATCGCGTCTTTTTCTTGCCACTCTTGTTGGTCTGATCAGGCTTGACTGTGAAGACCAACTTACTGGGGATAAGTTCTGCTCGATCTTCGTCAAGCAGCTTCTTCACCTCAGCCTCTGTGATCTTCCGCAATGCCCCTTTTGTTTCAAACAAAGATGACAACTCCTTCTCTATGGATGGCCTCCAATCCTCAATGGAACGGCGAACTTCAGCTTGTGACACAATGCGTGCCTGCAAAACTTCTTCTCCTTTCTCGGGTCCAATCAGCTCTTTCACCATGGTGATAGAGTCCTGGACCATGCCAGCAACTTTCTCATCATCTCCCATGGCCTCAACCATCTCCTCCTCTATCAGACGTTGGACCCTTTAAAATTGTTTCTTGGCCCATGCATCCCTTTCTTCCTCCTCAAAACTTGGCGATCTACCGTCTCCTTCTTGGTTCTCAAGCTCATCTGCTTCAGCGGCGTCCTCGACTTCCAGCATGTAGATGGACGCCTTGTGTCTGATTCTTCTCCTTTCTTCGATTGGATTCAAGGCGTCTTCAATTCCAATCCAATCCTCCAACTTTGGTGGTTCACTCAAGCCCTGCATGACCATCTTTGTCAGCGCCTGAGTTCCATCTGCCCTTTCAATCCAATGTCCATGATGAACCGAAGAAGGACATAGGTAGGTCACCTTCTCCTGTGTTGGCTCCAATTCTCGTGACCTCCAAAACCTCTTTCTGACCAAAACTTGCGACAAAAAAGGCGGTGTCCTTTTCTCCTTGTCCACCTGCTTCTGCCGCAACTTCTCATTGATGAAGCGATCTGCAATTGGCCAGTGATCAAAAGGTGCTTCAGCTCCATGAAGTGTACGCCTGATGGCTGCTTTGATGTGCTGGACAATCGCCTCACAACGTCCATTCATTTGGGGCTGATCCCCAGGCGTAAACGTCTGAAGGATGGTGCGTGACAGGCACCATTTTTTCCAAAATCCTTGGTCTGAACTCAGCTCCTCTGTCGCTATGCAGCTGGGTCACTCGATACCCGTCTGCTCTCAGACGCATGTACATGTTGATGATCGCCCTTGACACATCCTCTTGGCTCCTTGATGCCAAAGGCTCGCAAAGCTTGGTGACCTCCATCCTCACCGGCTTTCTTTCTTCAAGCTCCTCTGGTGTGTCTTCCTTCGGACCTTCTTCTGGGTTTTCAACCTGATCTGCAATCTGCTGTAGTTCCTCCTCTGCTTCTGGATCCTCAATCTCTGGCGCATCTGGGGGAACTTCAGGTATCTCCTCAACCTCCTCCTCTCCATCTTGGCTCCTGGCTGTCCAAGTGAAGCTGGCTACCAGGAGATACTTCGCTTCTGCAAATCAAGTGCTTCTTTGAAAGGTCCTGAGATGTCCACACTAAGGACACCCGCCTTTGGTGGCAATTTCTGTCGCCGATGGTGAGCATCACGCGCACAGGCCTCTTGGCATACTCTGCAATCCCTTCTGAACGGAGTATGGCCTGCTGCAATGTGCTCCTGCCATGAAACTGCCCGTAACTTGACCTCTTTGCCCATGGTGCAGGTTTGGAGAGCAGCAGCAATAGACCTCATCATCAAGGGTGGCCACCGTGACAATCTCCTGGATGATTCGCAGATCTCTGCCTTGGTCATTCCAGAGACATCACGTGGTTGCCCTTTCTTTCCTTGAAGTGGTACTTGAAGTGGCAGATTTCCTCCTATAGTTGTTGGCTTTGTAGCTATGGCCCCAAACTCTGACTTGTCAAAACGCTGGGTCTGCAGCTCATAGATCTCGGCCAAGCTCTTCCATTGAGGTGTTCTCCAAAGCGACACCACTTCAGGCTTGTGTTCAGGTGAGGCAGGCTGCTCCAGGATCAAAGTGGTTGGTGACTAACCCAGCTGCTCTGCGCACCGTCTCCGACACAATGTAGAGAACCAAAAACCGCATCAGCAGCGTATCATCCAAAGTGACCTGCTCTTTCTCAAAGTTCGAAAGCCCTTCTATGCCAAACTCCCCTCCATTCCAACTTCTCAGAGGTCTCGGCATGGCTTCCCCTGGAACTTCAAGATGTCTGAGAACCGATCTGGTCCTGCATGGTGGCCCGGCTATCCAACCCTTCACCAATCCATCCAAAGCTGCCCTCAACAAGAGCGGGTAGGCCTCACCTTCAGGGGACAGATCTGCTTCAGGCGTTCCATGGGTGATGTCAAACTCATGCATCAATCGACGATCACCTCCAACTTCATGAAACGCCCTTCCCAATGTGTAGCCCTCATTCTTTCCTAAAAAGGCATGGATCATCATACCCTTCGTCCTCCAAAGTTTCCTCCTTCTTCTGTTGCCCAACGGTAGGATGTTCGGAGCAGGCTTCTCCACCAAGCTTCTTTTGACCTCCTCAGGGATTCCTTGTAGAGCTGGGTGCTCATCAACAAGCCTTTTCAACCATGCCACTTCTGAATCTTCCCCCGTTTTCAAACTTTTCACAACCTTCACGGCCTTGGCCTCGATCTAATCAATGAGCTTCATGGCCACGGCCTGTGACACCATCGGACATCCAGCTTCAACCACCAGCTCCAGCTTACCAAGGACTGCGGTCAGCAACCCCATGGGCACTATGGGCTCCGTGCCTTCTTCGCCCACAATGACTCCCGTTGGAGTGAGTGCCATGTAGATCTCCTTGTCACCTGCCAGCGTCACTTTGACCTTTGGTAGATGGTGAAGACGTTCTCCCTTTCTCTTGGCTCGCAAAGGGTGTGTCGCCCCTGAGTCCAGCAGACCTTTGTTGACCATGGGGCGCGATCTTCATTGCTGCACTTGACTGCTCCAGCAAGAGCAGAGCACGGGAAATTCCACCGCGCTTTGAGGAGTGCCAGCCAGCCCCAGGACCGAGGCTTACCCAGATGGGCTACAGGCTGTCCAAAGTGTGGAAGTGGACAACAATGGCCTATGCCTAATCCAGAAGCTCCATGACTGGGGAGGCAGGAGCGTGCGTGAGAACCCTGCACTGGTGGACGTCCACTGAGATGGCAATGTCGCAGGGTGGTCAATGGATAGGCACCTCCCGAGGAGTGGCAAGACACCTCCTATACACCTCTACCTTAGAAGGAGTCAGATACTTCGGCATGATAAGGAGGAGATAGGCTGACGGCCAGTGGTCAATTGCCAACATATCCATGACCCCCAGGAATGGGTGCCCTACACCAGCAATGGTCGCAGAAAAAACCATTCGAGAGAGGAAGCTGACTACACAGCAACCTTGGCCTTTGCCATTGCAGTTTCAGCAAGTTGGTGGGCAGCTCGGTCGGGCTTGGCAAAGTTGGCTGTGCCCCGTTTGCCACCCTTCACAGCAGTCGTCGGGAGCATTAGCTTGACCTCGCCCCCAAGCGGTGGCTCCCATGGCAGCAGCTCCGAGTGCACTGCAGGAAAAACGGCCGGCTACCGGTCCTGCTCGGGTGATACCTGTAAGACAGGTTCCAGCCCCAGGCAGCACAGACCAGCAGTGGTAGCTGGTCTGGGGTTGTGCACATGTCACTATGTGACCGATCTGAGGCAAACCTGAGGATAGCAGGTGAAATGCTACTGACAGAGCAGAGGAAGGAAAAAGAGTGCAGCGGAGTGTAGTACGCCGAAACTGCTTGTGTCATGTTTTATACGTATATATATATAACTATATGTATATATGTATATATATATACAATTATATATATATACATGTAAATTTATATATATATACATGTAAATATATTTGCGTCATTGTAAACCCATATCTACATGTATACGTATATCCACATCCATATGTATATGCTCACGTATTGATGAGTTCACATATATGTATAATTATGTATATATATATACAAAAATGTATATGCATAATATGCATATATAAATATACATATACACACATATATATTCATATATGTATATGCATATATATATATATGTATGTATATATATATATATATGTATTTGCATTTACATATGCATATATATATGCATTTACATATATGAATATATTTATATATATATATTAAAAAACACGGTCAAAATGCTTGAAGACCATTTTAATACTGCAGGATTTTTTTGGTCAGAGATGTGCATGAAACACTGTAAAGCGATTTCTCCCCCCCAAAAGCGATAATCTGGGACCATACATGACAGTCCATTACACGTGGCGTAAGCCAAGCACATACTGTTATGCACATGCACAGAACGGGCAAAATTGGCAAAACCGATGAGAGAAATTTAACCTGTGGTGCTCCGTTTCTTGCAGTTACCATATCAGATGCCATATCATTTGGCATCGGACTCGCTCGCTCGCTCGCTTTTTTCTTGAATCTCTCTTTCTCTCGGTTTCTCTCTCTCTCTCTCTCTATCTCTCTCTCAGCCTCTCTGTTGTTTTTGTGGCAAATTTTCTTCGAACAATGTCATATGTTCCAGGGGTTATTTAGCGACAACCTCAGCGATAACTTAGCGATAACACTTTGTTGCACTCGGTCCCCTGGCCAAGCATAGGGCCATTGCCATATCTTTAGAAAGGAAATGGGAGGACATGAGCGCAAAATGAAAGGAATATGCATGCAAATGAAAGGAAAGTGAAGGAAAATGCATGCAGTTGAATGCAAAATGAAAGGAACATGAAGTGTTCCCGAAGCACCTGAAACCAACAAAACAACTCCTCGATCTATTTCCGAGCCTGTTTAGGAATGGATTTTGGTTTCATGTTGGCTCTTGAAAATGCTAATTTCCACAAAGGCCCCCTCCCAAAAGCGATAACGATAACAATAGCAACTACTACTCATATGTCGGGGATTTCCACGGGAGTTCACATGTGTATATATATATAATTGTGTGTATATATATAATTTATATATATATATATGGTACCCCCCAAAAGTCTACCGTTTTAAGGTTCATTTACTTGGTCTGGGGACGCCATACATAAATACAGATGCTATATGCAAATACACCTTAAAGAAAAGACTTGAAATTGACACGCGCACACCATTACGTTACTTGAACTGTGAAGTTCAGACCTGATGTTCAGACTGGAGATTCAGACTTGATGTTCAGACTTGATGTTCAGACTTGATGTTCAGACTTGTGTTCAGACTTGGGAATCTTCAATCCAGGATTGAAGATTGAAGACTGAAGATTCTCTAGGACTCTTGTTGGGGAATCTTCAATCCAGGATTGAAGATTGAAGATGGAAGATTATCCGGGACTCGTCTTGGAGAATCTTCAATCCAGGATTGAAGATTGAAGATGGAACATTCCCCAGGACTCTTCTTGGAGAATCTTCAGTCCAAGACTGAGGATTCAATATTAAAGGTTCTCTCCTGGATTGAAGATTCTCCAAGAAGAGTCCTGGGGAATCTTCAATCTTCAATCTTCAACCCAGGATTGAAGATTTCCCAACAAGAGTCCTGGAGAATCTTCAATCTTCAATCCTGGATTGAAGATTCCCCACCTTGAGGGACATGTTCAAACTTTGTCAAAGGCCTTCGTCTGTGGCCAGATCTTTGCAGAGCGTCGCGTCTGTCACCTTCAGTCCATCGTTTGTAGCTCTCGGCTCGAAGCATCGTCATCATCCTGTCGCCCACCATAGAGCACAAGATGTCCATCCCTGTTGAAGGACGTGTGACCTTGCAGAACAACCAGGCCGTGGTCGTGCTGAATGTGGCCGCCAGCAGCCAGGCTGAAGAGAGACCAGCCTCAGACTTACAAGCACTCCTCGACAAAGCTATGCGGCAGGAAGTCCCGATTCACCCGGCCCGGCTGCCCCTCCTGCGCAAGCACTTGGCCGCCATAGTCTGCAATGTGCAGAAAGGGTTCAAGTTGGAGCCCGTCGGCCTGCATGGCGCTTGGAACGCAGCTGCCGAGGAGAAACTGCTGGAATGCCTGACCAAGCCGAAGAGGGTGGTGACTCCGAAGCAACATATCTCATCCCTTCCTGCGCCTGCCCCAGCGGCCCAGCGGTGGCCTTAATTTGCATCTCAAGACAAAGGTTTGTCTTTCTTGCAACTCCTCTTCCGACAAAGCAGTGCCACATGCATGATCCTACTAAGGTCCTTCAGCTTGAAGACGGCAAGGTCTCCAGTTCCTCTTCTTCGTCGGATTCTACTTCGGATTCCTCCTCTTCTTCTACATCCTCGGATGAAGAGCCATTCATGAGCACATCCCCACCCCATCCTTGCCGCCGCCTCCAGAGAATCCCTCCGACAATGAGTGCGGTGTGCCGAATCCTGCCTTGCGCCCACGCCCTGAAGTGTTTACGGATGAAGAGTACCTGGCACCCCCAGCTCCAGCCGGCCCATCTCCAAAGATCAATGAGCACGGTGTGCCGGATCCTGCTTTGCGCCCACATCATGAGCTGTCTACGGATGAAGAATACCCACGCCCTCGCCTCCAGCCAAGTGTCAGCGGTGCCGGGAATGGGAGGAGGAATTTTAGTCTTTGGCCGGGTCTCACCAACTCATCTCCGATTTGTTGGAGAAAGCCGAAGAGGAGAACATGCGGCTGCGGCGCAGTTGAAGCCTGGAGCTCGAGCGAGAGAGCGCTGCGGAGGAAAAAGCATACTGAAGTGCTGCAGTGCTGTGAAGTACAGTCTGACCGGTCACGTGCACATGATCGCCGATTTTGAGCCCGCTAGTCACTAGTCGAATTCTTGAGTCTGGGGGTGTTGAGCTTGTGTACATAGAGATTTTCCAGCTGGATTTGAGTAGGGCTACAAACTATCAAGATTCAGACTTGATGTTTGGACTTGATGTTCAGACTTGATGTCCAGACCTGGTGTTCAGACTTGATGTTCAGACTTGATGTTCAGGCTTGAATTTCATACTTGGGAACAAAGAGTTTGAGATTATATTCATGCTATCGGTCTGTCTGCAACGCCTTCTCGTCTTGATCTGTCTGAGCGCTGCAGTTCCTGGCTCTGTCTCATCCAGGTGATCCGCCCTGTCTGTTTCTCTGCCATGGCTGCTTTGATCGATCAGGCCATGAATACCTTTGGTGGCAAGGAGTGGCACTACGAGAGGCGCTCTGTCCCTTGCTGCGCCTTCAAGAAATTTAAAGACATTGGAAAGCCTTTGGCCGTCCAGGACCTTCTCGCATGCTGCCGGCCTCCGACGGGTGTGAAAAGCACAATGGTGCTCTTGGATGTGCATCTGTCCATCCAGCTTTCCAGCAGCCCTGAAGCAACGGCTTCAATCTTACAATCTCAGCAAGTGGATGACCTACCTGCTCCTTTGAAATTCAAAGAGGCCATGCCATCAGGGGCCAAAGTCGGAGGCATTGTGATTGAACAAGCAGATGGGCATCTGCATGTCATCAAGCTTGTCTTTTTCAAGGCTACTATGAGCACAGGACAGGCTACGAAAATGGCTTCTGGTTCTGCCTACCTTCCGTTCTTCCGCATAGGCCCGCGGGCGGTCAAGAAGGCATTTCAATCCTTGCTTGATAGAGTGCCAGGGCATCATGTGCAATGGAATGTAGTCTGCCAGAAGAGAAGGTCGCCAAGCCCGGTGCCCACCCATGACTTTACTTCCAAGTGTGGATTGGTGACTGAAGATTGCAGCCCATCCATGACTTCAGAAGCTTCCATGTCTGGATTGATGACTGAAGATTGCAGCCCATCCATGACTTCAGAAGCTTCCATGCCTGGATTGATGACTGAAGATTGCAGCCCATCCATGACTTCAGAAGCTTCCATGCCTGGATTTGATGACTGAAGATTGCAGCCCACCCATGACTTCACTTCCAAGTCTGGATTGATGACTGAAGATTGCAGCCATCCAATGACTTCAGAAGCTTCCATGTCTGGATTGATGACTGAAGATTGCAGCCCATCCATGACTTCAGAAGCTTCCATTTCTGGATTGAAGATTGCGCATTACAACCACTCTAGTCCAGCTGGAATACTGCTACCTTTCCAAAACCACAAAAAGAGGAAGACTTTTCAGGGGGGTAGGATATATATATATATAATATATATATATTATATATATCCATGTACATCAAATTGCCCTTGTGCAAGTTCTGCAGATCATTTTCTTTGTTTGTTTATTTCTTTCTTTCTTTCTTTCTTTCTTTCTTTCTTTGTTTGTTTGTTTGGTTTCTCAGTAGCTCAGGCTGGGAGTCCCTTTGGGGTGAGTAGAAGCCTCAACTTGGACTGTCTCTCTAACATACTATGACAAACTCGTTTTCGGACATCGATCGGTGTGACATCAGATATCATGTCTTGTTGAAAGTGGAATTTGCTTGACCTGGCAATTTCAAGGAATATTCATGTTTTTCACAAACTGTTGCCATTTTCGTGCTGCATGGCTGCCGGATCGGATCAGAGCAGAAATACCAGATAGCATGGAGCAGTGGAATGGTTCGTCACTCGGCTGTGTTCAGCTGGGAACTCTACGTCTTGCCTTCTACTTATGAATAGGTTCTGGAGGCCACAGGCCGGGGAAGCTGAATTGCCTCGCGGTCGCTCCGTCGCACGTGCCAATACGTGCCATTTGTGTTCTTGACCAAGAGGTTGACCTCCCTTGTGGTTTCGATTGATTGAAGTGATATCACAATAAAATGAGGGTTGAATTTTCCGGAGACTAGAGCCACGAAAAAATGCCTCCTGACATGAATGTATGACATGGCCGTCATTTGATTTTGTGTTTGCGCTTCAGATTTTTCCAGCATTCCCAGCATTTCAAGACCGCTTCTGGCAAGGTCAGAGCCGGTACAGATGACTGATGCAGACCGAATGAGTCAACGTAAAAAACCCCGGCCGGAGTCTCAAAAGGTTTGAATTTGTGCACGCATAGGAATTGCATGACATGGAAGATGGCGCACTGCATGAACTTTGGTAACTATGCTAACAAACAATACTTCGGATATGTTCAGATATGTTCATTTGTCATCACTTTTCAACTTGTACCAGACAAATATGATGGCATGGTAGCAGGCTTCGAGATGACGCTTCAGATGCCGCTGCCTTGGAACGAGTCCAGCAGCCAGGCCTCAGGTTTGGCTCCAACAAGAAGTGTGCAGAATTCAATTCGTATCTGAATAAATCTGAAGAACCTGTGGTGCATTGCTACAAATTTGTGCATAAGGAAACGAATTGCCAAAACTCATAAGTACAGACTTTTAGCAGCTTGAGATTCGAATTTCTTGCCAGGATGTTCTGAAAAGTTTCAACGTGCTGGGAAAGGGAAGGGGCACAGCGCAATCAGTACATAGCCCTGCGTGCTATTTGTGTATTCTTCTATCGAGAAGCACTGGCAAGAGAAGGAGGAAGATGCTCTGAGTGTTGGCAGCATGGTTTGAACCTTTGAATCCTTTTGAAGTCTTTTGATTTGCCCTTTCATTGCCCAAAGCAGCTCTGAGGGTGGTCGATCGCTCGCCAACATGAGCACAGCATGCTCCCTTCGTCAGGAGGGGTCAATATTGCCACTACTTTGTGAGACGTGCCACACAGCAGTTTGAAGTGTTGGATTAAATCAGTCATGTTGCTCTCAACGTTCAGAAATGCAAACCCACCTGCCCTCCCGCCCCCGCCCACCGCCCGCGCTTGTTGTTCGCGCGCACCCGCGCCCCGCGCCCGAAAGCCCCGCGCGCGCCCGCGCCCCGCGCGCCCCACCGACCCCGCCCGCGCCCGCCCGCCCCGCCCGTCCGCCCGCCTGCGCTCGCACGCGCACACGCACACGCACACGCACACACACACACACAGTGCATGTTTAAATAAGAAAATCATGAGAACGTTGAGGCAGTCATCGCCTGGAATTCCTAGGTGAGGCAACCTGTCAGGAAAGGTCAAAGGAAATGTGTTGCGTAAAGTTGGGGTCCTCGCCGTAGCCCCTTGCCACATCGAGTGAAAAAGAAATACATCGAAACTTGCAGGTACGCTGGGTTGATCAGACCCAGTATCCCATGATTGTGGTAGCTTCGTTGAGCGCGGTCCCACAATCATGCCGCACTCCCCTGCATCTAGACAATTAATGAACTGCATGTGACTAGCAGTGTACACACACACAGCCCCTCAACCAGAGGGGCATCCCGAAAAAGTTAGGCAATGTTTTCTAGCGGCACCACTGCATCAAGTGATCTACGGAACGACACTGAAACAGCCGTCGGAGAAAACTCTTTAAATCTTGGAAATTCTTGGTTGTAAACAGATCAGGAAGTCGAGAATACATCAAGCCTAACAAATCTTGGGTTTGGGCAATCTGTAATTCTCGCGGGAATACGCAACTACGAATAAGTCGCAATCGAGCAGATAAACCACTCAAAGGAGCTCGAGACGTGCTGGCACTCCGCATCGAACGTAGTGGTTTCACCCAGGGCAAAAGTAAAGTAACACATTGTTGACCAGCATCCACATTGAAACCAAGTGCCTCCTGTCCTTCTACCACTTCCAACAAAATAGGAGAAGAATAAAATTGTAAATTCCAGAAAGCGCGTACATGTGTTTGGCATTGACTATATGTTGAGAAATCAGTAGAATGCGATTGTCCACATATCGATGATGCAACGAACGATCCCAAGTGAAGGGTGAAAAAGAGAGATGATAGTTCCATTCACGTTGTAAAGCCACGGCTGAACAAAGTACAGGTGCAAACTGAGATCCCATACTGGCTCCCCGACATTGTCGAAATACTTGGCTCCCGACCGTAAAATAGGAATTATCCAGCAAGTATTGAACAATAGCAGGAATGTGTCTCAATGTAACAGAAAAATATTGTCTTGATTTGTCTCTCCAACGACCTTGAAACACTCTGAGATAACGTTCCAACTTGTGAATGTGAGCCTGCAGGACAGTGTCTAAACCTTGTTCGGTTTTCTGTGCATACGTGTACACGACATACTCAATGGCATCGAAAATTCTGGAATGTTGCGCTTGGAATGTTGTACTCAGCTTTGATTTCATTCATCAAAGTGTCTACTGAAGACTGTTTTTCTTTGGGAATAAACTTCTTAATCCATTGGGTCATTTTGGTTTTGGTATGATCTGCTGGGGGATTGCTGCCATAATAGGGTGGTTTATCTTTGGGACGACGGTACTGGTCCAAAGGAAGAACGAGAATGACTGGAGGTTCCACACGTGTTGAAGGCGAAGGTGTAGCCGTGTCCCGAGCCAAAGTTGCCGCTGCTGCCTTGGTAGAATCGTCCTGAGTGGTTCCTGGGTAAGAGGCGTTCTTAGCAAACATAGCTGGAAGGGAAGAAGGGCGGTAGGAGGCAGCTGGGTTCACAGGTTCCGCAGATTCTGCAGTGCCAACGACCTTCGACGACGTGGAGACTGAGAGCGATACCCAGGGCGCCGACGAGGTCGATCACGCTGTCGTCGAGAGTCCCGAGCCACGAATGAAACCACGCGAATCTGAAGACGGGAATTCAAAGACTTGATCTAAATATTGAAAACATGAAAAATGATAAAAGAAAGATATCCAAGTTCATCACATCAACGGCCGACAGAAAGTGAAAGAAACAGAGTTTACCAAACAAAAGATGCAGAGTTCACCAAACAACAAAAGAAGTTAATTATAGTATATAACTGCAATGTAACCTGACAGCCTTTGATAAACTAGAATATGCAAGCGACTGATAAACTGAAACGAACATCACAATTAGAATGAAATCATGCAAGCCAACCAAGGAGAAAAATACGGTGCATCAGTTTTCCACGAGGGGAGGCATTGCTGAAGTCGGTCCAAGTACAATCAGAAAATGAAAGTACAATCAGATAATAAAAGTAGCTATAGCAGCTATACCTTTGATGATAGACATCTGAGGGCGAAACGCCCGGCGAGAATCTGCACCATGTACGGCATCGTAAAACTGTCCCAAAATGTGGTTAGCATACGCTCCTCCAGAAGTAGTACGTATGTGGCCCTGCCGGGCATATACTTGGCCAATGATACATACTGGGCGAGGTGATTCAACACCTCCAAGCTTACGAGTTTGGTCCACAACTCGACGAACATGGGCAGTAGTAAAACTGGCATCAGATCCAAACATAGCTCCTTGAGCATAAAACGTATTAGGAACCACCCATTCAGGATCATCAATGTCACAAGCTGAGGGTCGAACATACCCATCCAAAACAGCTGAGGCCATTGCCAGAACAGAGGTGTTGTGTCCAAAACCAAAATATTGCACAATTTGCACGTTGTCAGATCGCCAAGTAGGAGGTTCCAAAGAAACATATACAGCAGTTGGTTGTTGATCCATCCCAAAAATGAGTTCAAAATTCTCAACCCAAGCCGAAATTG